TGGAGGGGATGAGGAACGGTGAGGGCGGCTGGGGCGGCCGGGAAGGCAACACAGGCGAGGCGCGGCGCACCTCAAACTCGAGCGAGTAGCGGGAATATCACCCGCTGCTCCGGCGGGAGATTGCTCCCCCGCCGCCCCCTGGGTCACCCCGAGTGACCTCGCAGCCCACGCCGTGAGGCGCTGCTGTCAGAGGGGTTTATCACCGCCGTATCCACCCCATACTGGCCGCCGAGGGGCCCGGCGGGCTGAGGCGCGCGAGGCGGCTTTTGCTCCCGCGGGGCGGCTCTACCCGTCTCAGCACGGCGTCCCGAGGTGTAGCCGTGTACCTGGCGGCAGGGCCATCACTCACGCGCCTACTCGCGGCACGAGGGAAGGTGTGACGCGACCGCGAGAGGCGAGATGGGTGATGGCGAGACAGTCGTTTGGCCCGTTTGAGGCTGAAAGGATGACCGCGGACGATGAGGGCGACGATACATCGCGCCTGCTTTGGACGCAAAGTCCAGACCTACAGGATGGAGGGGCGAGTAGTGAGACTCGGGACCATATCTTCGCGTCGAGAGACGAAAATCCGGATTCTTGGCCGCCGGCCGCCGCCGGCCGCCGAGCGGACACTAGGGAACTGCGCGACGACGACGACATTTCTGAGGTGGAGCGTTCACCACCGCCCTTCCAATGGAGTTTGCCGGTCGGGGGGGCGTCGGCAGCGCCGCCGTTCCGCGCGGATGTTGCAAACGGTGGCTCGGGACGCCTATTTCGGCAGCCCCGGGGCGGGAGCCGAGGAGGGGCAGCCGTTGCGGTGGCGCCATCGCAGCTCGGCGGCGCGTGGGGAGCCGAGCGGCTCCCAGCGATCCCGCGAGAGAAGGGCCCGCATCCGTCACGGATGCCGCGCCCACGCTGCCCGACGCAAGCGCCAGATGGGAGAGGAGGTTGGAAGCCTTTCTGCGCTTCGAGGTGCAAGATAACTCCGGCGATATTTAGCGGGAGGAAGCCAGGTGGGGTTTAGCCCAATGTGGTAGCCAGATCGCTGTCGATCGTTACGGCACGCATGGGGGGCCTCCCGGACGTATGATCCTAGCCCAATAAGCTCCACGGAGCAGATTTGGATTTTCGACAGAATTAAATGCACTGCCCCGCACGGTACTAATAGTCGTAGTTTTGGGGGCGGCGCCCCTCACGGCACCACACTGACGCAGGACAGCCCGAGATTAGCCTAGCAGTGACTGGGAATCGCCTGCCGGTCGGCTTGGCACGAGCCAAGCACTTGGGTGGCCGTCAACCGAGTCCGAGCGGCGCCTGAGGTGGGTGCCACGGCGTCCGCACGAAGGCGTGGCGGGGTGAGGAGCCAGGGGTGGTGAACACCTCCCTGACGGGCGCGCGGCGCGCCGGATGGTCCGCCGAGGCCGCCGCCGCCCCGGCGGCGGCGATGGGGGCGGCGGGGCCGACCCGGCCGGCGTTTGTCGGCTCCACCTACAGAAGAGCAGTCTCTGTGGGTCGACGATACTAACTCGGTAGTAACGCTGAGCGGTGCTGTGCGACGCCGCGTCGTGCGCGAGGCGACCTCCTGAGGCTACCTGAGCTGGCAATGGATGCCACCAGGACGCACGGCTAGCAGGAGCCAGTCAGGCATGCCCTGCTGTGGAGCAGAGCCTGCTGGCGCACCGGCGATACTAACTCAGCGCGCCGCGAGAGGCAAATCTGGGCGACTTTGGAGGCGCAGTTCTCGAGCTTGCCGTCGACGATTGATGTCGGGTAAATTGTCACTGCCGTCCGGGAAGGTCTTCTCTCAGCAGGCCGAGCGCGATGCTGCTCGCAGCGCTGTCGCGGCGCCGAGAACCCCCAAAACTCGAGATACCTCGATACTAACAAAGACTACGGGGGCAGCTATGGGAGGTAGGAATCCTACTTGTGTAATTTTGTGTTTCCCAGGTGTATTCGCCAGTGAACTCGCGGCCTGGCCCTATTCCGGTGGCCCCACCTGCGGCCGCCGGAAGGAATATGAGATATACGGCCTGTTGCGAGGTTTGTGCTTTGTGCACGCTCCTGAGGTTGACGCAGGCAGTGGCGAGGGGGCCGCTGCTGCGGGCGGGCGGAAGGCACCGCGGCGCCGTCGAGGGCGGCGCCGTGGCGCCAAGGACCACAAAGGAGAGTTTGAGAATGTGCCCGACACCGAGGCGGCGAACCACGGAATGACGCCCCCCCCTGCCATCTCTGGTGGCTCTGGAGGCTCCGCAGAGGCGGAGCCCCCTGGGGGGCCTCGTCCCACGTATCTCTGCGGCGTAACCATCACCTCGGCTACAACGGCACAGGTCTCCTCTCCTTCTTCCTCTTGGCCGTGCGGGCCCGACTCGGAGCTGCTGCCGTTTGAGCTCACTGAATACGCGCGGCTCTATAAGCTCCAGGACGAGATGCACGTGGCGGCACAAGAGGAGGGGGAGGACACGGAGGAGGAGGAGGACGAGGACGAGAGGGCGCTTAGGGAGGAGCGGGCACGCGCACTCCTAGGAGAGGCACCGACGATGACGGTGCAGGAGTATTCGGACGTCGTTAACCGGGTCTGTGCGCGCGCCTCGGCGCGCGCGGCCCAGCCTGCGTTTTCGAGGGTGGACGAGCTGGGAGACGAGATACGGGTCGAGGGGGCTCGCTTGGGGGCGCTCGAGTTCAAGGCGAAGGAGGCTTTTCTGGCGCGGAGCGGACTTAGCGGCCAGGCGTTGGAGGCCGAGGAGATGCGGTTGATGCGGCTGAGGGAGGGGGCGAGCCTGCTCCGCAGGACGCCTGCCGCGGCCACGCCCCTCGGGGCGAAGAAGGCGGGCAAGCGTGCCGCGGAGGCGGAGCGCAGGGCGATTGCGCTTGAGAGGGAGGGGTGGGTTGACGGGGAGTGCCGGGGTGGGCGTCGTAAGGGTGAGGGCGATTGCCGCCCTTCCCCCTTCGCCCACCTCGACGCCTTCGTGTAGGCGCCCCCGCGACTGTGCCTCTTTTGGTATTGTGGCGTACCTGTGTCGAACCTGTGTGCTGTGAGAGAGAGTTCTTTTCGTTGAATTCTTTTTGGGGGCGCGCCGCCAGGCGCGTCCCCACTTTTGTATCACAGCTGCGAGGGCCAACCAAGGGATTCGGCGCGTCAAGTTAACTTGACCGCTCGTTCGGGCTTTGGGCCGCAGGCCGGCGCGCAGCGCCACGCCGCCAGGCGTCCGCCGGAGGCCCGCCGGAGGCTCTTCCTGCGGCCACATTCTGGCAAGATTCCGCCGCGCTCAGGCGCCCAGAGGATGCGTGCGCTGCGCTCAAACGTCGCGATTTGGCAATAGGCGCTCGAGCCGGCGCACAGCGGACGGGTGCGCCGCGCAGGGGGGGTCGGAGGGGTGCGAGAGGGGGCGTGGGTCAGGCGCGCACCGGCCGGCTCCGGGAGCGGCCGTCACGTCGAGGAGGGGGGCTGTCGGCGGCTCGAGCGGCGAGGCGTGCCACTCTGCTTCGCCGCCGACAGCCCCTCTTCCGAGCCGGCGCGTGGCGACGAGCCGCGGCCAGTGTCGCTGGTTCCTTTGGCGGCGCAGCGTTTATCCCCCCCACCCGCGCCCGCCCGCCCGACCGCCCGCCCGCCCTCAGGCCTTGCCCCTTCGCAGGCGCGGGAGCGCTCGCCGGCGAGCACCTCCTACCTCTCCTCGCCCGGCTGCTCCCTTGCCCCGTCGCCCGCCGCGCCCTCGCCCGGCCTCAAGAGCTTGGCGGCCTTTGTCCGCCAGCTCGGGGCGTGGGACGAGGCGTGCGCCGACGGCCGCTCGTCGTGCT